TGCATGGTCATTAGTAAAAGGATGAGTCCAAAATGTGATTTGCAGGTCAGGGACACTAAAATCAAGCATGTGCAGAAGTTTAAATATTTGGGAAGTGTTTTGACAGGATAGTATGTGCGACACTGAGCTCCGAAGATGGATTGGGATAGCCAAGCTTACGTTCCAAAAGCTGGGCAGAGTACTGCGAGACAGGAGGATTTCTTTGGTGACAAAAAAAAGAGTACTGAGCCGCTACATGATATCTGTCCTATATGGCAGTGAATGTTGGACGGTCTCTTCAAAGATGAAGAAGAGACTCAAAGCAGCAGAGATGTGGTTCTACAGAAGGATGCTAAGGATATCATGGAGCGAGCGTATGAGCAATGATGAGGTCTTGGAGAGGATGCAAACAAGGAGGAAGCTTATACTTAACATGAGGAAGAGGCAGATGAAATTTCTGGGACACGTAACGAGAAAGGAGGACCTGGAGAATCTGATACTCACAGGTCAAATAGAAAAACAGACAAAGGAAAGCAACACAACATACTTGGTGGGTTTAAGCAAGTGAATGGCAAAACGTAGTTTGGGAGAGTTGGCAGAGGCACAAAACTTATTGAGAGCCACAAGGGATAGGGGGAAGCAGAGAGCCATGATTGCCTACGACATGAAAGGACAGCACATAAAAAGAAAAGGTATTTATGAAGAGAAACAATTATAGTCAAAGTTGTAGAATATAAGCATTTACTAAGTGTATTTAGATGCAAGGGCTCTGATAAGGATTGGACCCTTTAGCAATGACCTTCATGACAAGCATGTTTATTTACAGCAGACACAAAATCATATACTTCTTTTTCTTCAATAACAGTAAGATGAATTGATAACTTTTGACACCTGAAGATATGAAATGATGCCATTTTTTAATTGTTAACCAAAAATCATGGCATTATCCAATTTCATGGAAATATTCAGCATTTATTAATTCAAGAATGAAGTTTATATTGTATTTCATTTGGTTTTTTTTTATGTTTGTGAAAGTTTGTTTTTTTTCAGGTCAGTATATTCCCAAATAAATTTTGGATGTTCCTAATTTTTTGTAAAGCTAAAATCTTCAAAGTTGTTATATCATTAAAAAAAAAAAAAAAAATTCTATGAACATGTTGAAAATGAAATCTTAACAAAACTCAAAAATATTCTTTGTGGAGAGTTGCTGATAACCAATTTTAATATTTTTTGTTTCTACAGTATGATTTTTAAAACTCATTTAGCTCTTGGCCATTGCTGAAAAACTTGATATAAAATAAAAGTATGTTTAATGATAGAAAAAATGTAATGCCATTTTTTAAGTGTGGGCATAACTAGCTGATTGAGTATTTTCTTCCATTGAAAGAAAATAATAGTCTTCCTGGATGTACTAATAACTCACACAGAGAATGGGTTCAAAACATCTGTATATCACAAGTCAACCTTCACTGGAAAATACCTTTTCAATTCCCACTATCCATACAGTGTGAAGAAAGGGATTGTTTGATCCCTACAACAATGGGCAAAAATCATAAGTGGCAACCCAAACACATACCAACAAGAAATGATCACCATTAAGCATACCCTTCAGAATAACAACTACCTGGCAAACAACATCAGCATTTACAGGTGGAAACAGAAGGGTCAAGGAGAATGACTTAGGAAATTGCCATGGTCTGTCTACCTAACATTAAGGGCTTATCATAAAAGATTCAGAAGATCTACAGTTTATACATTATGTTGGGACAATATTCTGAAATAGCTCCACTCTGCCGAGTAAAGCCTAACATGGGGGAAAATATAACCAAGAAATGCATGTGTTCAATTCCCTGCAGTTGTGGCAAACAATATAATAGTGAAACAATCCACCTCATAAAATAACATTGAACAGCTGTAATGTGGGATGAGACAATAAAATCAGGCATGGCTGATCATGTATGGAGGCAAAGGAGTAGTTATCAGCCCTTGTGGAATAAAGTGAAAGTGTGACACTATTTCGCTATGGTAATTGATTAACTAATTAGCCATAAAAAATTAAACAAGAAAATACTGAGAATGGAAAAGAAGGGTTAAAAAAAAAGATATAAAAAGATATTTTTACTTTAAAAAAAAAAAAAAGTTACTTTACTCAAGAAACAAGGATTTGCGTCAACGATAAATTTACAGAAAGGCAATGTGGCGAGATTTGACAATTGGTTAATGATGATTGCAAAAGTACTATTTAAGAAAACACAACAACCAGAAGCATTGAAGATATTCAAGATTGCAAAGATTTTATGAGTCGACCAAGCAACAAAGCCATGTGTTAATTATAAGAATTTTGGCATAAGAAGATATTCCGAAAGATATGCTGTTCAATATAAAAAAGATTTTATTTTACTTTTCTCAAGAAACCAAGGATTTAGGTAAACAGTAAATTCACAAAAAAAGCCATGTGGCGAGCTTTTGACAATTGATTAATGATGATTGTAAAAGTAGTGGTTAAGAAAACACAAAATAACCAGAAAGTGTCAAAGATATCATTTGAAATCGCAAAGATTTTAGGAGTTGGCCAAGTGACAGGGCCATATGTTATTTGTAAGACAAAAAAAGGGAATTTCATAAACAAAGTTGATAATTCTGAACTGAGAAATCTTGAATAAGCAGGGATGTCAAAGAGTCAATTAATGAAGCTTAGCCACACCCACACAACCAAGACACCATTGGTCGGGTGGGAAGCAATGGTGATAGGTGGAAGTAAATTGGTAAGAAAGGATTTGGTATGAGGTACCAATGTGAGAAGGAAAGAGTTTAGGAGGATAGCTATCCTGCAACCTCTCCTCATGGACGAAGGGATCCCCCAAAATGGAAAGTAATTAATTTTCCAAATTGGGAAGTAATCAATTTTTCTAGCCAGACAACAAAGGGGTCCCTTGTCAGAAATCGGGAATTATCAAAAACCCCAGGCTGCGTCTAACTCAACACCAGTTTTTGGTTGATGTTCATATAAGCGAGCGCCCCCTTGCACTATGGCCTGATTGATCTTGTCTGCCTAAGATCAAATCCCAACGCGGGTAGGTTAGACTTGAGATCAAAGTAGTTACTTCGGTAACTAGTCATTGGAAGTGAGCTGAGAACAACAGAGCTGGTGTCGAACCAGTTCCATCTGGTGTGAATCTGTCAGAATCGAAAGACCATCCCAGTTGGTACCCTGACCAAAGGATCCCGCTGGGTAGTCATGACTGCTGATCGACCAGGTCACTTGTTGGTAGCAGCGACTAAGATTCAACCCCCAAAATGCTGGTAGGAGAAGTATCACAGCTTCATGCCGCGACTAGGAGTTGGACCCCGGGCCAACAATACTGTGTCACAAAAGTACTGAACAAGGAAGAACGCTAGAGTTAGTCATCTGAAAGAATCAGGGCATATGCTAGGCTATGAGGACCTCCTTAGTAGGCCTAGTATAGAAATAAATAGAATAGGGGAGCTGTTAATAAATAAAGACAAATGACAGCAAGTCTTCAACAACAATAGTCAAAACATGACAGGCAGTAGCAGCATTAATCAACAGGTAGGTTATATCTAAGGCTCCAAGTTCATTACAGACAATAGTCTAATAGATTAAACTATTAGTTGTGAATCTATCCCTGTAGATTAAATAAGGGGTTAAGTTCAGTAGGTTACCCAGATCAATATATACCTAATGGTAATGTATACTTAATAATTTTAATTACTTATTTTTCAGTGTAATTTTGAAATTCATCCCATTGCTGTTTGTAAGAAGTTATTTTTATTAAATCAAGACATGTTTGAAGAATCATAAAATGTAAAGTTTAATGCCATTTTCACAATTTTAAATTTTTTTCAATTTAGCAATTGTTAGATTATTTTTCTATGGATACTCAAAAAGGAACTAATTCTGAATTACTGGCTTTGACTACTTTTTCCGAATGGAATATGATAATTCAATATCTTTTAAATTCAGAATAATTATGAAAGATCATATTGGGTGCAATTAGATATTTTATGTCATGAAACAGGTAAAAAAATAAAAGCAATATTAACTCAAAAGTAACATTTACAAAAAACAAAATTACTACTAATGTAGTATAAAAAAATAAAGTTATTAATTCTTTGAAATTTCATAAAATCGCATGGACAAGAAATTATATTCTTACACTATTGGTTAAAATGTCTGGATTATTGTACTGCTGGTGTTCCATATTTCTTTTAATTTTTTTTTTTTTGCACATTTTTTAAGGGATGGACCCCTGACCTCACAGGCTACAGTGCATAAAAGTTATTTTCATTATGTTTTCAGCAAAGGGCTAGAATGTTACAAAAAAAAAAAAAATTTTATAGGCTATTATCTTTCAAATAAAACCAAATTTTATGTTCAAAAGAAGGCATTTGAATTAGATGTGTTTTTGGAAGTCCGTGACAGTTAGGTACCTTCATGAGAGCTAGTAAAATAAGTTTTCTTTTCAGCATGTTTTTTTTTTTTTGTATGACATTCATTTGGAAAATCTTGCAAAAATAATTGTCGGATGTTAATGAAATTTTCGGAAACTATTATTCACAAATGATGGAAATTATTATTTGTTTTTTTATAGTCATAGAATTTTTTTTTTATATTTATTACCCCCCGCGCCTAACTAATTTTATGAAAACTCTAGAGATTCAGTCGCATTCAGTTTAGTAGTGATTCAAATTATTTTTGAAAATGTTACTCCTATCAGTACCTTTTCAATATGTTAACAATTTTTTTAAATGTTAGTTTTAAAATATTTATTCCATTTACTAGCTATCACTCTAAATTTAAATTACGTTTTATTAGACTGTTTCTTGTTGCGTTAAAAAGGGGATAAAGAACTGGACTGGAATGTCATCTATGATTGAAAATTTGGTATGCTTTGTTTTGATTATGTTCCAGATGGCCTTCCTTACCTTTCTTAAAATTTAGTCCCATTCTGAGTATAAATCTTTTAGTTTTACTTTTATATTAACAACTAACTTTGTAGCTCTTTGCACTCTTTCCAGAGTTGTGGCTTGTCTTTTCAATCAGAATCTACTCTAGGGTATCCATACTGCGTTTCCATTATCCAAGAGGGTTTTGTCACCGTTTTATCAATGTTTTAGTTACTTTAATTCGTTGTCTATTAGGTTCCAGAAAGTCCGTGACAGTACCTAGATTCATGATAAAATCTCAGAATACTGAGTGGGCCAGGCCTAACTTTTCTCTATTTTATTAATTTAAACATTGAAGTCAATAAGCAAAAAGGGGACTAAGTGTAGTATGGCTACGATTTTTTTTGAACAGTCGCCCCTAAAACATACTCATTCTTTGATTTCTGGTGTTTTGTTATCCAATGAACTAATGAGCAGGGAGTTTTTTTCAACTTTAATTTTTCAGATAAAATAGTGCGGACTGAATCAATTGAGATATCTAACGTGTTAGCTATTATTTCTGCAATTAAATCACGAACAGCATCGATTTTCTCCTCACAAACTGATGTTGATGGTAACGCTGTCGTGTCCCTCTTTGAAACGAGTTATCCATTTGTAAATTGCTGATTTTTTCAGGGAATTATCTCCATAAACTTTTGTCAAAGCATGAATAATGTCTTCATTCTTCCAACTAAGTTTTACCATAAATTTGATGTTAGTTCTTGCTTCTATTTTGGTAGAATTCATGCTGCTCTAAAAAGCGTCGTTAAACTACTTCTAGTAATAATTACTTTCTAAATTAGCATTGGATACGTAGCATATAAGTCAAAGTTTACTTTACTGTAAACAAATATCAAAATATTTGCATAATTTTTTAATATAATTATTATTTATTTTATTTACGATTTTTAAAATAGTTTTTGTGTTATTTTTCAGAGGCTACGAAACTAAAAACCGGATGTGTATATTATGGGATAGGCAGTGATATATAAACGAACTCTGACGCTTCCTCTTTCTCTATTGCTTTTAAGTTGCAGTATACTGAGTATCAGTTTACCGCCTTTGAAGTCAGGAAAATGGGACACACTAACTTGTGGTTTTCTCATCCTAGAAGATTTGGCCCGGGTTCTCGGCAATGGTGCGTTTCTTTTTAATTATAAATTACATTGTTTGATTATTTTTGATTGGAGGTGATTATATCCTGACCAAATAGGCCGTAAAAATTTGTCTAGGAGGAATAGATATGGCGACGAGAGGGAGATAAAAAAAAAAGCAAAAAACTTTCTAATTCTGTAATAATTCTATTTCTCGTATGGTTAAAACATTGAATTATCAGTTCGAAAGCTATGATTCATGTTCACGAACATAGTAGAAAAACACTTATTTCTCAAAAGGTTCAGTTGAACAAAATGTCAAACTCGTTTTGTAAAAAAAAAAAAAAAAAATACCTCGTGGTAAAACCACTTTTCCCTGAACCTCCAGCCTTTATTCTAATATCAACATGACAATTTTTTCAGACTTCTCTACCACTGAATTTGATTAGAATATTTTATTCTAAAAAATAATTTGATGTTTACTTGTTTTTCCTGTACTATCCTAATTTTTCGTTTGGTAATTTCATGACGTTAGAAAAATGCCCACTTTTGCTAAACTCTTCTTAAAGCTGAAGTTTTTGAAAACGTTCTTTTGGCTATCATATTTGTGACCATCGTCCATGTACCGTATCGCTTATGAAAACAGGCAATCATAGTTTTCCATTGCTTCCTGTCTTGTTGCTCGCCACAATACTTCCTCATGGACCTTATTTGTTTTTGTGGTCCCTCAATTCACATGCACTCCCTGAAGTAACTTGTATGGCTTTCTATAGCTTTGTGTTAATTTCCCTCGAGTCTTTCGTTTTGTGGTCCAAAACTTAATTGTTAGTAATTGTTTTTATTTATTAAAACTTTGTAATGTCCCTCTGCTACTCTTCACTGCCACATGGGAGAATAAACCTAGCAGTCCCACACTATCAGGTTTACTTTTTAATCCCTTTCTTGTCTCCTTTGTGCGTAATATCTTCCGCTATTCCTTACAGTTTGTCATACTTTTCGTCGTTTGTTAATTGAATTTTTTTCCCCACGTGTTTCTTTACGTCCCCGATGCGTAATGACGATAATTCACAGCCGCCATATTGCAATAAAGTGGTGGATATATTCAGGATTTTTAACTTGTCGATTAATCAGTTTTTTGTAGTGGATTTTTTTCATGTCTTCATGTAATCTGCTTTGTTCAAAAATAACTTTTCTCTTCATGGAATTTTGAAAGGAAGCTAATGTACTGGCAGAGAAATTGAGATTAGATTTCCAATATACATAATGACAATTAATCCTGACTTCGTATTTTTAATGATTATTTGATTTTAATCAAGCGCTTATTATAATTAAATTTTAATGTAAAACCTGGAACTTAAGCGATATCTTAAGATCTTAGATTTTTTTTTTTAATTTTTGTAAAATCTGAAAACAAAATTAACTTTTACAATAACATTGTTCTTACAGCCGTGTCTGCGCCAACACTCATGGTGTCATCAGAAAATACAGTCTCTTCATGTGCAGAAGATGTTTCAGAGACTACTCTAATGACATTGGTTTCAAGAAGGTAACTTATTTTATATATTTACTTTTTTTAGATGATTTGAGTAATTGTCTAGTTAACTTTTTGGCTAGATCAAGCAAATGTTTTTTTCCCCTCACTACAACATTGTAATTGTTCATCAGTTATTACTTTTTACGCATTTGTTGCCATGCATCTAATTTTTTTGGCTTGGTAGATTTATAACCTTTGTCCTTTCATGACGTTGGAAAGTGCAATTTTAAAGATGCTATTAGAACTGCCTTAAAGTGGGGTTACCTCCACAGATTCGCAAAAAAAAATGAGTATACCATGACCCCCCCCTCCCCCGGACTTAAAAAGCGGTGTTATTGTCGATCTTTAAATTATACTTTTTATCCATTTGAAAACATTAAAAATTTTAGTTAAAAATTGTCTTGTCAGCAAAGGGGACCCAAGATTATAGAGTTTTTTTTTTTTTTTTTTTTTTTTTTTTTTTTTTTTTTGTGATATACACATTTAGAAATTAGCACAGAAATTAAATAATTGTCAGATTTTAAGGAAATTCTGGTTGCCCAGCCAAATTTAATTTTATGAAATTTCCAGAAATTGAATTTTGTACCACTTAATCATAATGTTTATATTAGCAATTAGCTATACACCAAGTCCAGGTTAATGGGGTTGGTCACTAAAAATTTAATGAATAAAATTAAAAAAAAAAAATGCAATAAAAACTAAAGTATTACTACTTTTACATTGGTTTTATGAATTGTCTTAAAAAAGAATTTATACTTTTAACTTTTATTCTGTAAATGATATTAAATTGAAACCATGTTTACTAATCTTAAATGGAAAAGCTTACTACAGCCTCTTTCTCTCTCCCTTTAAAAATATTTTGTGTGAACTTGCCAAGTTTTGTAAATACTGATGTCCCTACACCTCATAAAATAAGAGCAACAACTATGGTAAATTTAAAGCCAATGTACCTAAATTAAAATTCAATAAAACATTAGATTACATTCATCTTTCTAAATTAAGATCACTGGGTAGTTTACAAATTGTAACAAAAAAAAAATGCTCACATTATACTAAAAGTAATTTCAACAGATGTATGTTTCAAATCCAGTTAAACTTTAAATTAGCTAATATTACTTAGTGTCTTTTCTATTTTTTTTTTTTTTTTTTTTTTTTTTTTATTTTAAATCTTAGGTATTGCATTTCTGTGAAGGGACCTACTTTAAAGTCTCCCAAAAGAAGCCTGCAGTATAATTATCTTCATACTTGCATCTGTAAATCCAAACTTGTTTATAAAGTATTTAATCTGAGAATTATGCATAAAAATAATTTTCTTTTTTCCCTTTCTTACAGCTGGACTAAAATGTTGGAGATGCTGCAACATCTTTGCCTCATTTATGGAAATTCAATAAATTATCCATTATCAAAATAAACAGGCTTTTCTATTATTATTAAATGGCTTGCTTTAAAAACTTGTTTCCTGTTTAATGTTATTGGCTTATTGGTGCCATTAAAAAAGGTATGAATCCACCTCTTATGACTCAGACTATACTCTATCCACTTTCGAGATGTCATGGCAGTTCGGATAGGTTTTCTTAATGCATCATATTTCAAAGGTGGTTTGAAGTGGGGGACAAAGCTTGCATATATTACTCTTGAATCTTCAAATATATGGAGGTTTACAAAGATATTTTTGTAAGTGTTTAAAAATCTAATATGGAATTTTAGAATGAATGATAAAGGAAACTGAAGGAAAACATTAGTTATTAAAGAAATGTACTTTGTTCATTAATCTACATCTGCTTCCAACATCCACTAATGTTCATATGCTCATAGTTATCTAAAGATTGATGCACTAAAATATAGCCTTTTTTTTTTTTTTTTTTTTTTTTTTTTTGCTGCCAGTAAAGTACTGGCATTAATATTGAGTCTTTAGCAATGCAAATGCCTTAAATTTTAAAGTTTCTGGAATAAATATTAAAATGGGGTGTTAATTATGTAATGTTATCCATTGTTTTACAAAGTAATTTATATATATATATATATATATATATATATATATATATATATACACAACTTTTCTGTTCAATGAGAAAATACTGATTACTTATGCAATTTGATTTTTCAAAATGTGTCTATTTGGCAATGCACAACAACTTATCTTACTATATTTTTGTTTTGCTTAAGGATAAACAATTGTTTTATATAGTGTAAGAACTTAAAATTTTTCCAGACCCCTCTTTAATGATATTTGTCATTAAATAATTTTGTGCAGTACCTATTTTGCAAAGTTATGGTAATTTTTTGGCTGCTGATTGCTAGTTTGAGACAGGAGTTGAAGGTGAGAGCTGACATGACAGTGGTCTCCAGTGTCATCTACCATTCTAGTGAAGGTGTTGAAACTATTCCATTGCTTACTGCAGTGTTTTGATTTTGCAACAAGTCTTGCTCAGTTTTAGCATATGCAATCTGTCTGGTCAGTGGGAAGCTTGTATTAAAATTAAATTAACCACCCACAGTATGTTTATTACCCTTGAAGGAAGTTTTCAAAAATAAGTTCTTGGGTTGCTAACCAGTGTGGTATAGTTTGAGTAGTTGGAGAGGTAATTGTTAGCCATAGCTTGGATTAGGTCAAGTTGCATTAAGTACCCCTTTATGATCTGTTACATCAAAAATTGATAGGATTTTTGGAATGAAACTGAATAACTCCTTTTGCAACTGTAAAAGTCAAATTGGTACTATTTTGGTTAGGAAATGTGATTTATTTCCTTGTGAAAGCTATACTGGATAAGGAATGTGCCCATACAGCACAAGCTGTTGGAGCTTTTGATATTTCAATCTAGTGCCACACTTTGGACCTGGAAGTTGTTTCTGCTACTTGTTCTCAATTCAATGATTTCCTTACTACACTTTTGACCACTGATGAATATTCAGTAGTTGACAAGAAAAATGTAATCTTTTTGAAATTTATAATTAGATGACTGGATGAGGAAAAAAGAAAAAATTACATTGTGATTAAGAGTTGGTCGGGTTGGCAATTTATGATTTGGTTTATAATTTAGTATTTTTGCTTTCTAAGAAAGCCATTCATTTTCTTGTTTAATGATGGCATTTCCAGTCGATATCTGATTTCGTTTGACATTTTTAGAGTTAAGATGGTATTTTGCTTCAAACAGCCGAAAATGCAAAATTTAGAAGACCGTTAATCTAAAACCAGGAAGATGTTTGTTTCTTATCTGACCTGTGAAAGCAAATTCCTTCAAAAATAAAGTAAGCTGCAAAAAATAAAAATTAACTGATAGTCTGTGTGGTAAAAGAACTTTCATATTGAAACTACTGTCTTGTCATGTAAAATATAATGCCCCTTATACTTTAAGTATTTTTTTTGAAATGTCTGTCATTGTGGAAGTTTGTTAACTGGTGCATAAAGGGTCAATATTTTTTTTTTCTTTAAAGGGTAATAAAAATTTATAGGCCACTGAAATTGAAAAGCTGAAAATTGGGTTGGGTAATAAAGTAGGAATTGCCCACATAAAATCACCTTTTAGTTTTTTAAAGGTAATTTAGTTATAGAATTCATGACTGATTAAAATTTATTAAACTTTCGAATTAATTGTCAACTATAAATAACTACCATATTTAACAAACTGGTAAAATACAAAAATCCTTGCATAAAATATCTATATTTCTTTTTGGACAACACATTTTTGAGAAAATAAAATAGTATAGCTCTCCAGAAATTAGTTTAATGCAGGCCTTTTTAAAAGGCCAAAAAATAAAACTTTTTAAAATTCTTAAATATGGCAATTCTTTTCTGGTCTGCGAGTCAACTGTCATTGGGGTTTTAACAAATTTCTTAACAAGTAAAATCAATAAGTTATAACCCCCCCCCAAATAAACTTATTTTTATTTAGTGAATGTGCCTAATATTAGATATTAAAACTAATTAAGCTTTTAATTTCATTTTTAGAATGTGTATATTTCCAAATCTGTGAGTATCACCTGTTCTTTACACATTTTGAAACTGGAATTTGGAAAATAAACAAATTTTAAAACATTAAAACTTGCTTTATTTTTTTAATATCTAATTTTAGGTGTATTTGTTAGAAACAATTTTATTTGTATAAAAAAATAAAAATTGTTTTACACTAGACTCTCATTAAAAGTGAAATTAAGAACTATATTGATTTTTCTTAAAATCTAATTTAGGTGAATTCCCTAGATAAAAAACATTTATTAAAAGATCTTTCATTTTTTTTGTTTACAACTTTTGTGGTTGGTGTATTAGCTTACAAGAAAATAATTACAAGAAATCTGACAGTAAGACAAAACTAGCAACTAAATTTTTTTTACTGGCTATTTTAACTTAATTTTACCACTTAACTAAAACCAAATAGATTTACATTATTCAAACATCCCTTCTTCCCTCCACCCCTCTTTTGTAAACAAATTTTACATTTATTTCCTAATGTCTAATGTTTTTGTTCAATCTTTTTCTCTTGCAATGGTATAAATCTTGATAAAATTTAATTTTAACATTTGAAAGTCTTTTTCAATAGTGTTTCTTTGGATATGGTCACTCAGTGATATGGTACTTCAGTGGGAAGATGAAACCAAAAAAATGGTTTTTGGTTAAATCGCACCTCTCTAATTGTGATGTATGGTGGTGAAATGTTCATGATGTTACTAAAGTCTGGAAGTGCAAGAAAAATTGTGGGTGTATGAATTATCTTGACTAGCAATGGTGGGGCAGTCTTTGTAAAGATGACAAATGCATCAAAGATGACCCTAGGGACCTATAGTACCAAAAAAAAAAAAAATTAATTACATGCAAGAATAATAGGACTTGAATGTGAAATTTTCCTGGGGACCCAAAAAGCTCATGTAAACCATGTTATGGTGAAATCTGGAAAAACTTGAGTATAAAGCTCATTCTCTTGCATGCAGTGGTCAAATGCTAGACAACTGGGAGGAAAGTTTCATCTGTACAGAGGAAAAAGGGAATACTATCAAAGGAGGCATATATGGGGGTTGGGTGCTCAAATTTGATTGTTATAAAGGTTCTAAGTTTGGGGAGCAAGGCTTTAATTTGGAAAAGAAAGTTATGATTTGCAGTGCCTACATGACTGAAAAATTTCAGTGTGGTGTCTTGAGTAGTGATAGTAACTTTTCTCTTCTGGTTGTAATCAGTAGGAGGTGTAGTGGCATTTGTGACACTTGATGTTAGTTTTATTAGACCTAGCAATAGACATCCTTTTGAGTCAATCTATGATAGAATGCTGATAGCTAACTCTTTTGTTACCTGGGTGACATGAGTGGTGCTGGTGGCAGTTGCATGAATGTCTGGGCACCCCTCTGGATGTGTAGCTTAACACCTGAAGGATTCAATGGTTTGGACATGTACAACTAAATTCATAGTTGAAGCTGAGCATTGAGTGAAGTCATGGGAAAGGATGTTCAAGAAAAAGGTGTCGACAATGACGTCAAAGTTGAAATAAAACATTCTGGATATACACAGTGAAACGGGCTTCCAAAACATTCAATCCCTGCATCAAAGAATAATGATTAAAACAATGCTGGGCTGTATTGCCAATGTTGACTTGGTTAAAATAAAACTTATTTGTCTGATGATGTTTTGCTGATCAACCTGTCAAAATAAGAGATTTCCAAAATTGTCTTGTATATTTACCAATCCCATGAGAGAAAACAATGTTAAAACAAATGATAGTCCCTCATGACTTTACAGCAAGACCAATTTAGATGTGTAGGTAAAGTAATAGGGATCAAGCCAGAAGTGCAAAACTTTGATTATTTTTAAGTAGTCTACAATTATTACAGAATATACTAAGCTTAGTAAATAACTGTCTAGCCTTTAACACGATATTCTTTTCCAAGGAGGTTAAAGAAATATTTATACGAAATGTCATTAAAAACTTTGTGGATAGTGGCTCAAAGAGAAATCAGAGCTGTTGGCTTGTTGTATTCACTCGCATGCGAATAATATTAGGAAAAGTATGAATCCATCTCTTCCTCCCCTTCCCAAGATATGAGTTAAATAGTAGGACTTCTATCTGAAAATGTCATTGTTTTTCTTCAAAAATATTGGTAACACAATATTCACTTGCAAAAAAAAAAAAATTCTTACAATCAAGTTTATGTTTTGGCTTTAAATAGCCCACAAAAGGTTGGTAAACCATAAAGAAGCAAATCAATCTGCATGAGATTAAAAGTAATTGCTCAACAAATGATATTAAACTTGTAGATATTCCACAAGCAGTTCAGACTAATATTTTTGTTGTAAGAATGCTAAACTGAAAACCTCATAAAATAATAATAATGACTAAGATTTTAAATATTAATAATACTTGTATATAATTAAGTTTTCTTAATATTCCACTGTCTATTCTGAAGATATAATTAATCATTGAAATGTAAAAAATAAAGTAAACTTGTTTGTTAAACACTGGTTAGCAACAAACTTTCTTTTTGGAGTTTTTACTTTCAATCTGTACCAGATCAAGTTCTGAGTGACCAGATTCATACAAGGGATGCTGAAAAGTTCTCTAACAGACTCACTTTACCAAAATCTGACCAAATTTCAGAATTTTAGAACCCTCTCCTATTAAAGCAAATATACAATGAAATCTCCAACATTTTCTTTTTATACATGTATACAAGCTGTATTAATTTTTCTGGCTAAGAAAATTCCATCCCTTAAGTACCAACTGTGTGCTTTTTAAATTTTATTTTCTCATCACAAATGTAACTTTTAAATAGAATGTTACAATATACCTACACATGTTTGGTATGAAATTTTTATTTAATTTGTGCGTTTTAATAAAACTAAAATTTATTATTCAATTGCTCAAATAAAAAATGAATATAGAAAAAGAGGAGTGATAATCTTTTGTAACGTTTAAAAAGCATGTTAAGACAATAGTAGAATGTGGTTTTTGTTTTTAAATGTATTTTTAAAATAATTTATTATTACTGAGTGTTTCCCCAATCAACAACATTAACATAATTTTTGATCAGCAGAAGAAAAAAAAAATCCAGGACAAATGTTACTGGAATGGACAACCATTTGCCCAGTGGCCTCGTTGACCTGCAAAAAACAAAAAAATAGTTGCTATTTATATATAAGTTTATATTCCTTTAGAAAATTTGAATGTGCAGATAGTGTCTATCATTCAATAAAAAATAAATGTGTATATGTATATAACATATTTTTATAAACAAATGCTGAACTAAATAAGTTAATTCCTTTAGCATTAGAATATTTGGGGGATTGTTTTGATAAGATACTTGTACATAGAAATTCAGTCTTCACTTTGAATTGAGCCCCAAATAATAAGCTGAATATGACTTAAATTTATAAAATTCTTAATATACCCAACAGAGAATGTAATGTATCTAGATTGAGGTGATAGGGGTCATTATAGGCCCTGAGGTGAATGCTCCTTCTATTGTGAGTGTCATATTACACTGAAGTTTTTCTTATGAGCTATGGCATGGTAGGTGTCCCTGACACCTGAGAAAAACATTAGATGGTGGTTTAGTGAAGAATATTCAAAATGGCTGATAAGTTTGGTTTGACATGGTAAGAATATTGCTGTATGGTCCTGTGAACCTAGGTTGAGATGTCTCAATAATAATGAGGCATAACTTGCTTGGCTAGTACTGCAAAATTCACTTTAGGCCAGTAATTTCACCAGATTGTGTTTGCTGTGGTGATTGGGGAGAGTCCATTGCACTGTCTTTCTTTCACTTCAGACTTGTGTGCCTGTGATTTGAACTAGTTGAAGACTATACAGTTGGAATGTTGGGCTGAAAGTTCTTTATCCTAGAAGCCAGTTCTATTACTAGCAATGTGACACCACTGCTTGGCAGGAATGGACACAGTGTTTTACTACTTACTTGACATGAGAATCATGATATGCAAAATGTGACAGAAGGAATTTCACGAAGGTAAGAGGTCTTCTTCTCAACTGGTTTTGCTTTTTAAGTATCAGCTTAAAGTCAAAATTAGGATGGAAAGGAAGCAGGGGTTTTTTGTTTTTTTTTCAGCAAAATTTGATGAGAGATTGGTGAATCTTGTGCATATGCATCAAGTGAAAGGTCCTGACTTGGAGTGGCATATTGATATTGGCTAGGAAGGATGACTTTAGACTTCTGAGTAATGCCTATCTCAGTCCAGTGCTTAATAGGTTAGACTAGTGTTTCAATTTTTAGTTTATATTTCATTTCAGCCAGAGGATTATTAGCCCTCTTTAGGTTATTTCCCCAACATCCTTTTTCAGTAGGTGACAGAAAATTCTGTTCTCTCATAGGCGTAGGATTATTTTTGATTTTTCTAGTTCTGCATTATTATTTTGGACTAATTAACTGTTTTTCTGCCACATTAGATGGAAATTTTACCCTTGTTCCCTCAAATTAATATCTCCAGATATTATCAGCTCATCCCATAAGTTCTGTCCAAATTTTGAATAAAGAAAACAAGTGACCAAATGTTACATTTAATTACAGATTCAATCAACAATGTATTTTCCCTGATTATCTATGACTTCCTTCCATCTATTAACAAGCTTACTAATTCCATTACTGTAAAATTCTTTGGCTTTGATTTGAAGAACTCACAAATGTCAGTTTTAACCTCTTCCTGTGTTACAAAAGCTGTTTCTTCCAAATGATTCTGTAAGCTACGAAACAAATGGTAGTCTGAAGGAGCAAGACCAGGAGAATAAGGTGGATGAGGAATTTTCTCCCAGCCAAGTTCTTCAATCTTTTGTGACGTGATTCTTGCTGTGTGGAGTTGCGCATTGTCCTAATGAAACATCACCTCTTTTTGATTCACTAGAGCAAGTCTTTTTTTCCTCAAAGCTTTGTTCAAATGCTCTAATTGCTGATAGTATATGAGCATTAAGTGTTGCATTAGGTGGTAAGAATTCAAACTGGGTTATTCCTTGGTGATCCCACCAGGTTGAAAGAAGAACCTTTTGCCCATGAAGTTCCCTTCTCGGCTGTGGCTGGGGTCCTTCCCCTTTACCAAGCCAATGTCTATGATGCTTAACATTTCAATAAAAGATCCATTTTTCATCGCCAGTCACAAGTCTATCCAAAAAAGGTGAAACAAGTTGGTGAGAATGGATTTATTTATTATTTATTTCTTTTTACACTTTTGTGACATCACCTCCAGTTTAGACTCATCTTGCACTATGGCCTGATGTCTGATTGATCTCGTCTACCTAAGATCAAATCACAACGTGAGTAGCTTGAGATCGAAGTAGTTACTTTGGTAACCAGTCATTGGATGTGAGCTGAGAACGATGGAGCTGGTGTCGAATAGGTTACATCTGGTGTGAAGCCATTAGAATCGACCAACCATCCCATTTGGTACCCTGTCCAAAGGATCCTACCAGGTAACGATGGCTGTCGATTGACCGAGTCATGTGTTGGTGGAAGTGACTCAGAGTCAACCCCAAAGTGCTGGTAGGAGAAGTATGACAGCTTCATGCCACGACGAGGAGTTGACCCTGGTCCGAAAATACTGTGTCACATTTTTTTAATTTTTGTTACAACCTGTACACTTACATTAAAAACAAATGACTAAATAGTGAATAGATCAAAATAGATATTTCCTAAAATAAATGATAAAAGTTTAAAAGTAGTAATTTTGATTTTGGGATGATGAAAGTTGATTTTTGATGCAGTTCCACACCAATGGTGAAAAAAAAGTTAGCCTAGTTTAAACCATTCATAGCATTAATAAAATAGATGAAGACTTACCACAGAGGTAGCATCTGCCATAGCCTCCAAAGTATGAACCAGACACACCATCGACAATGCTTTCATAACTTTCATCTGATAAGCTTTCTTCAGATAGATCCTCATACCAAACATTCTGATTCTCAAGGTTCGTCAGCATAGAGGGATATAGAATCTCGGCGTTTATGTGTGGAATGATTCTTCGGTTATACCATGGAGTCTTCTCGTTTTTTGACATTGCTAATTCTGCAGTTGAAAAAACAAAAAGAAGAAAGAAATTTGAAGATAATTAACAGGGTAAAGCAAATTCAAATAAGTTATGTAAAATATGTATAAAAGCCAGTCTCCATTTCTTTGTAATGCATAAAGCATACAGGAGGTTCAGAGGTCAAGTGAGCACTGAGATTTCCTTAATCATATGTGATGAAAGCTTGCTTAAATTTATAAGCATCTCACAAGAACAAAAATGGCAAAAACCTGCTATTATTCACTATTGCAAAAGTATGACAAATGCCCCAAATTAAGTACATAAATTGACTAGAATTAAAACATTGTGAAAGCTGTAACCACAAAGCAATGAGGGACAAGCAATACTTCTTGTAGCAGTCAGAACAGCCTTAATATTGAGTGCATGTGTAATATCTGATGTTACAACAAAAATGACTGCTACCATAAAACAGTGGACAAGCATAGAGATGCAAAGTATAATAAAGTTTCTTGATAGGTTTATATAATAGCCAATGCAACCAGAAATTATTTTTTCATGTTACTATAAATTAAGCACTCCAGATCATGAATAATTTTTTTTTTTTAATTTTATAAAGGTTAATAGGAGGATCCAGTTTGCTATGGAAATTCATTATAAATTGATCCTTTTATGGAAACCAAAACAAATATGTTCATACAATGTGATCTCTTAAATTGTAAAAAAAAAAAATTGAAACTATTTTATTTCATATATTCTTTCAAAGAAATTACGTAATATGTTTTTTTTTTTTGTTTAATGGCATGTCAACTCTTTATGGGTCATTTAATACTGAAATTTTATTTTTTTGTCAGTTTTTTTTTTTTTTTTTTTTTCAAAATATGTATTGCTGGTAATTTATATATTTTTTTTTTTCACCATGAAATTTTACTAGTAATTTTTTGTGATGTATTTTTATGTTTTGACTCCAGTTGGTAGTTCACTGTTTGTCCACAGCTGGGACCCTAATAGATGATACCTCTCTGGGTTAGGGTTGACCTGGGAGCAACAGCAATTAAGAGGTGGTTCCACACTCCTTAAGACCTCTAGATTAGGGGGTTTGCTGCCAGATTATGTGATATGAGCATATTTTGTTTTGTCTTTTATTGAGTGGGGGATCAATTTACAATGATTTTACACAGCAGATTGATCCCTCCTATTAACTTATATAAAATTTAAATAATTTTTGTTTTAATATTTGTAATATGGAGTGCTTAATCTATAGTAATACAAAGAATTAAACTTGGAAAAAATGATTATTTCTGGTTGCAGTGCCAACTGTACAACTACACCAGTTTTTGTATGCCAAGAGCAAATATTCAATAGAAATTTACCATGAACTTATTGCTGTCTTTAGCAAACATATAGAGAGCAGGAAGCATGTATCAGTCTAGTCTAGTGTGTTCACAGATGGATGTACAAAACAACAGGACAAGCTTTGTGTAGGGTGCCTGTGTTTATCAACAACAGAAGACAACATTACATGTGTTGAAGCTTCGTCATGATATGGCTGTGGAAACTTGATCTTTCCAAACTGGTGATCCATTATCTCCTCCGCTAAAAGTTGGTATATTTGAAAGTGTCATATTGTTCAGTTCCAAGGCAATTGAATGAAGAATACAAATTCCAATGTATGGACATTTCTTTTCAGCTTTTAAAAAGGGGCTGATGGAGACTTTCTAGAGTGCTGAGAACTTGATGAACCACAGTAATCCACAGACAAAAATTGATTCCACAACCTGGAGTCATCCATTATCACTGACTCTTAAAAATTCAAAAGACAGCAATTAGTGAAGAAATTAATGTTGTCTGTGTTGTGGGATGCAAAAGATGTGTTGCATAGGCGGACAGTTAACAGTGTCAGATACTGTGAAACACTGAAGGAAGTTGTCTGGTGAAAAAGACCAGGATGTCAATCCTACTGGATGACAATGTAATCTACACACTTGGCCAAACAGACAAAAGAGTGGCTCTATCAATATGGTTGTGATGTTTTAGTGGCCTAAAATATTTATCAGTTTATTTTGAGAATATGTGATTTACTATAAATAATAAAAAATGCTGCTTCAATAAAGATTCACTTTTAAAGTCTGCCTTTCATTTGAGAAGAGTACAACAAATAATCTACTTGAGGCCATGAAGAATTGGAAGAAAATTTAGATGTTGAGAATCTATTCTTATGAATTAAACTTTTCTGAATTCTGGGTCATTTGATGTGTTCAGATGACCTTACAAGTGGAGGTCTTTCATCTGGGTATTTGTATTCGTTGGTTGGCGACAAAATTAAACAAGTTCACTAGCAAAGTCAGTTGTTGCAGAAATCTGCTTCAGAGCAGTCCATTTACTACCACTCGTTGACCTGACATGTAAATTATAGCACAAAACCCCAGCAACTCCCAACTGAAGTTATTTTGAAGTATTTCTAACTTCTTGCCAGATATACCTTTGTTTTTTCCTTTTTAGCCACTGATCAAAGCACTAAAATTAGAATAAAACCTTTTCTTTGTTTATTATAAAACTTAGTTGGTCTTCTGTCATTCCCTTTTTTCTTTATCTTATTTCTTTTGTTGCACATGTGACACTCAGCCATGAGCAAATGTTTATCACTTGATACAACAAAAACAAAGTTATCTAATAGTTACATAAGACAAGTGAGACTTATTTTAAAAATTGTTAATCATAAATGAATGCTTACATGATTTACTATCATTTTTTTCAAATTTCTTTCCAAATTTTAAGTAAAAAGACTTTGAATAATGATTTTATAATTAGTACTAGAATGTACTGAAATTGTAGTGGTAGTAGTAGTTGTATTGGTTTACAAGCTTGCAATTTTAAAGCTCAACAATCAGCAATGATTTTTGTATTATTTTTATTTGTTTATTTTTTAGAGCTGTTATAACTATTGTGTACTGCTTCATACATAGGAATTAGCTTGGAGAAATGCATGTTCCCAAATTTCAAATATCGACATTTCTACAAAGCATACAAGCTGAAGTGTATATCAGTCAAAATGGAATGGAACGTAAATTCACCAATAAACTGCAAGTGACAATTTTTCTAATATTCACACATTTTACAGAATGACAAGAAAATAATTTTTTCAGAAAAATAAGCGTAGAAAAAAAAAATGATGTTAAGTAATTACCTTTTCTTTCCTTGATAATTTGTTCACGCCTTTCTTTCATCTCCTCACTGAAACAAGAGACCATCTTTTCAATATAGGAATCAAGCACAATGGCACGAGCCATAGAAGTGACTGGAGTACGACACACAGGACAATTCTTTTTTCTTTTCATCCATTCCTCAAGACAGAAGGCACAGAAAGAATGTGTACAACTCAAACTTGTAGCCTGTAAAAGCAACATAGCACTGTTCAAGTAAATAAAACAATTAAAAATTTACTGCATAATGAAATATGGCTAACAATTTCTGAATTGAAATAGGTGGACACCAGGCCCATAAAAAGAGAGGGATCACTTGAAATATCTTGTAAAATTAGCATGCTGATCAATATACAGCAATAAATGATTTTCTGATTTATAAAATAGTCTTTTTTCTTGTTATTAGTAGTTTTATTAAAAATAATATCAAAACATTATAATGGTATGACAGACTGGTTAAAGGAAGTTCAAAAAGTTTAAAGATTAATTAATCTTTAAACTTTTTGAACATATGTTCCTTTAACCAGTCTGTCATACCATTATAATGTTTTGATATTATTTTAAATAAAACTAAATCAGAAAAGATAAAAGGCACAAATACTTATTAGAAAAAAAGTAAAACAGGTTAATTTGCAGTGTAACACTCGTGCTCAGTTCACATTAAAAATTTCCAGAATACTTACATTTATACATTGTACATGCTTCATTTGAATCTGGCTTGATATATTTGATAAAATCTACCGTTTTGGAGTTATCAATAATAAAAGTTCAGATTCATTAATAGCATGATAGATTTTATCAAATTACACTGCAAATTACCTGTAAAACACTCAAAATTTAATAATTTTATATGATTAAAATAAAAATGAGATATGAAAACATAAGCTTTCTTTAAAATACGTAATAGATTTATGAGCTAATAGAACATGCATTTTTCAAAAACATTGTGTGTTATACTAGTGCAAGGACTTTCTCATATGGTAGCCAACTACTTCAGCCTAATGACAAACTAAACTTAATAAATAATCAAGTTACTTTTCATTATCCTAATTAAATAAATTGTGGTCTAGCAAATCTCATGGTCTTGTACATTGTCAGTATGTCATTGTTAGTGTGTGGGTCTGTTACTGAAGTTCATTTTATTTTACAAATGTGATTTGAATTTACTTGTTTATAAACAAACTCATTAACTCATACTTATTATAAAACCCAGGTTGTGTGTGTGTGTGTGTGTGTGTGTCTGTACGTTTATATATTGGATCGAATTTCCTACAACTGATTTCAACAAAACTTCACAGGACTACATAAAATTACCTTGCGGTGGTTCTGACAGTGCCAAAAATTGGCAAAACACAATTGTTTTTGCACAAAATCAATTTGAAAACACAATCAAGAAGAATCACGAGAATGAAAGGGGGACAACTCATATCAAGTTATACTTATTATAAAACCCAGGTTGTTTGTGTGTGTGTGTGTGTGTGTGTGTGTGTGTGTGTGTGTGTGTGTGTCCGTGTTCATTTATATATGGGATCGGATTTCCTACATTTTTCAACCGATTTCAACAAAACTTCACTTTTTTGGCATGTAGTGTTTCTTATTGTCTTGAACACTTTTTTCTTTATTTTTACATTCAGAATGCTTTAAAAATTCCATTTACAAGACAATTGTTTATAATAAAATTATATTCAATCAGTAGACTCATCACGATTGAAAACAATGTTTTTGTTTAAGATTGGGTTTGACCAATTCGTAAAAAAAAAAAAAAAAAAAAAACCTAATTAAGACATGCGTGTCCATCAACCTTAAACAATAATCTTTGTCAATTTTATTTTTCAGTCTTTATGATGGTCGATACTTGATCTATCTTTTACTGTTAGATCCCCGGGCAACGCCGGGCTCTACTGCTAGTCAAACTTAACCACAACTTGAAATCAAATCAAAGAACTCTAAATTTTAAAACTGTTACTTTATTTTAGCATAAAATTAGACAAGTATTTATTGAATTTTTTAATGAATCATATAAATTATTTTTAATACAATTAAAAAATATAAAAAACACAAATAATCTTCATTGATTAAATATGTGGGATGAGTTTGGCTTATGCTTACATGGGAGTGGGATAGTTCTTCTAGTGGGTCACTTTCTGTTTTCTCATATTTTATGTGTTATGACAATGGCCAAATCCCAAGGTTGCCAGATTAAAAGAGTACAATCAGAACTGGGTGCAAAAGGCTGAAGATAGGAGATGCTTACCTGCACAAACAGCTCACTGCAAATACTGCACTGTAATTCAGTCTCCATCAATTCAGCAAAGTTTGATAACACATCTTGTTTGATCTTTAAAGCTGATTCTTTCTCTTGTTTGCTAGCTTCTTTTGCTTCCTCCAATTGCTTTTCGAGGAGTTTCTGTTCTGCCTCTTTGTTTGTCAAAATCTGCTCAAGGCGTTTCTTTGATGCCAGTAAATCATCAAGTTCAGTTTGATTGGCAATATCCTTCATGCGCAATTCCCCTTCTATTGATTCCATTTCTTTTTCTAAAGCAGCTTTCTTTTCTTCTAGAGTTTTCCAAAGCATCTCTTCTTTCTCCTGCAAGGCAATTTCTGACTTGTGACGGATTTCTTCTTCTAATAATAACTTGTCAACTATTTTTGACTCCTGTTTGAGAGAAAAATATACATAACAAATCAATTCTAAGACTGTTGTAAAAGTTAGAGAAAAATATTCAAATGTTAAGGGAAAGCTGCCATTTTTTTTCCACTATGCAGACAACTGCTTATACATTTGCTGTTCACATTTCTACCTTTTAATTATTTTTAAACAGTTTATTTTACTAAGATCTTTTCAACAGTATCTTCCTTCTTTAAGAAAATGTCAACTATGAAGTGATTGTGGTTTAACCAAATAAACATGAATTGATGTCCTTGCTATAAAAAAGAACATGCAAAAAATAAATCAAAAAACTTGCAAACAAGATTACAAATTCTGAAGTTTTCTTTATCGCAAGAAAAAGCTGATATAACATTTTATGAGCAAGAGAACAGTCAGAAATGTATTAACCTTTTTCTTTTACAGGTCAGTTTTACGGTAAAAAAAATAAAAAAATGAAAAATCGTAGTTTGAAAACAAGCAGTTGAATGAAATTTTTCAACGCATTTTTTCTATTTTAAATTTCAGTCCAGAACATTTTCTGAAGAAAAAAAATAGTATTTACTTAAAAAAAATTGTCACTTAACTCCTTATAAGGATATCCAGAGTAGAAGCACTTCTCATATTTTATTTTTTTCAAAGTAGTTAATTTATTTCTAAAACAATTTTTGATTTAGGATTAAACTAAAAATATTTGAGCATGTTGTCACATTTTAGAGCAAGAAAGAATATTTCTGAATTTCTTCTGCCTGACAATGCAAGATTAGTGATAACAGACTTTACTCATTTAGCTATTTATGAGTTAAATATAAAGTTTTTATGACTGTTATGAAGCAGAGAAGATTCTTCTTCATTTATTAATAATTTATTAACATTGGTTTTAAATTCCTTTTCTTTAATCTTTATTAGATAATATTGATGGACCAATAGGATGCTTGGTGATTCAGAACAATGGGTAGAGATGAGCTCACCCTGTAAATAGCCTGTTACATAAACTTGCCTTTTGTGGTGGATTATGTGTTTGTTTATAAATGAGGAAAAGAAAGAAAAACCAAAAAAATACCTGAACTTCCTCGAGTTCCTTTCTTGCAAATTCCATCTTAGTATTCAGAGCATTTATCACATGTGCTTGCTTTGAAGAGATCTCTTTTTCATACTGTAACGCCTGCTCACTTGCTTTCAAGCGTTTTTGCATTTCTTGGATTTTTTTCTCATATTCCAAGATTTTCTGTTGACTATCCTCACACACCTGAGACTTTGGAGAGTCCCTTTTCCGCTTGAATGTACCTGCTAGTATACAGTCTGAATTTAAATCTGGTTTAGGTAAGAAGCAACCAGAAGAAGATGGGACAGGTGAAGGTTGAGAGTCTGAAAAAGGCACTTTGTGTTGAGAGGGTAAAATTTGGTAATCGTCTTTAGAAATAATTTCATTATCACAAGCCAACAAACTTTTGCTGAACTTTAATTTGCCTTCTTTGTGTTTTGTGACCAGTCGGCTTTGGAATAAGTAAGAAAATGGTTGATCCTTGGATTTTCCTATTTGAATTAGGTCTCCTTCATTAATTAGGCAAGGTGCAGAGGGTACAAGTTGTTTCCGGTTCACAAATACTCCATTCATGCTCTGAAAAGAGTGAAAAAAAAAAAAACGGTTTATTATTACTAAAAAGTAAAAAAAAAATAAAAATAAATGATCAAGCACCATTTTGTAATATTTCAGCAGCCAGACCAAAATCATATGAAACAAAAATATGTAAAAACAAACAAGCATTAATTAAGTCTGGATTTATCTAATAGTGTCCAAATATCATATATATATATATATATATATATATATATATATATACACACACTCTCTAACCTCTGCCTCACTTAAGACCATTGCAGTGTAAACCCTGAAAGATATCCTGTCACAGTGATCTGAGTGGTTGTAGAATTCTCAATTTTGATAAAAACTGTTATTTATACTCACAACTAAGGTTCATGAACCCTAAGCTAAAAGGAGATCCCAAACAGAAAATCCACCTTAGGATTTGCATTTCCTTGGTTACCATCATTGGATAGCTGTACAGAAGTTGGCTATAACTGTGACAGATATTAATGTGAATAATACAAATGTTACCACATACTGTGAAGGCAACAGGCATCAGTGTTCTGGACCTAGGGATTATAGTGAACTACTATGCCCAAGTAGGAACCCTATTCTCAAAGTTGGTTAACCTTTCATCATGATTTCTCTGAACATTTAAATGCTATTGCACAAAAATCAGATGAGCCTGAAACTGTTGCTATGACATCAATGTGCATTACAGAAATCAAGCTCAAAGGCTCCAGTATAATCACATAGATTTTTACTCAAATGACCCATTAAAGCAGGGTTTCCCAACCTGGGCAATATCCCCCACTGGTGGGCAATTTCAACTGTTGGATGGGTGATGAGCAACTGAAAAGAAAATGGTGGGCAATTGGAAATTTTAGTGAGTGATATAGGATTTTGAGTATTAAAAAGGTATTTCAACACATGCTATCTGAAAAAAATATTCAAAGGTAATATGTAAAGAACCTGTATAAAAAAAAAAATAAACAAGAGGTTAAATGGGAATAACTGGTAGGATATAAATATCCCCACAAACAATGAATATTTTGGTATTTTCTATAGTTTTCAGAAGGGTCATTAACATTCAAACAGTTCTTTTTTGGGATATGATATAAATCAGATATGGGAAGACCAAGAATAAAAAAATATTTGCTGAATTTTTTCAACACTTGAAACGCTAGCCTAGACTATAAAATTAAATTATATATAGTTTTCAATGATCAAGTTTGCTTTCATTTGTTCTTTAATATGCTAGTAGCAACAGAAATTGACGCATAAGTCAGCATTATCTGTTACCTCTCTTTGGTATTTTCTACTATATCAAAGTCAGTTTATAAACCAGTAAACAAACTTTACAAAACAATTTTGGTTTACTTTTGAATATTTATTATACAGGTTACTGGTGGAAAATTTTTCCACGTGTAAGTGGACAGTGATGCAGAAAAGGTTGGAAACTCCTGCACTAAAATAACATCGTTTATATTGAAAATTTCTGCTAAACTATAAATCTCCCAGACAAAACCCAGAAGAAGTTGGCCGTGTTCTCAACTTGGTAGCAGAATCAGCTGTTCTTGAGTGATAGCAAGCTTTGTATCATCCAGCTAACAGAGAAAGACTTGTGCATCTAGAGCAAGCTTTAGATTGAAAAATCATACTATTGTAGCTATGTATGCTTCTACTTAAGTAGATTCAGCTGAGAACAAAGATAGATTCTATGCTGAACAGGTGTGAGATATAATGTGTACCAACCAGTGACATACTTATTATGGCTGGTGACATTAATAGTCAAAGTAGCAGTGTGATAATCCAAGAGAAAAATCTATTGGGACCTTTTATTTCTTGTTATAGAAGTGATAATAGCAATAGACTTGGATTACTATGCTGACAAGAACTTATTTATCTAAAACAGCTTTCAGTTATCGGCAACTGGTAACTTTGTGTAACCCAAACTAAAGGACCATGACCCAGATTGATCACATCCTGGTGTGTTAGACATGGCAAACTGTATAACAAATTGCAGGTTCTACTGAGAAATGACTGTTGACACAGACCACTTAATTGTCAGAGCCACATTCACCTTACTTTTCAGGAAGAAGAAATTCCATGCTTCTAAAATAACAAAGTTTAACATTGGCAGGGTGAAACTGGAAAGCATCCAAAGACTGTACCATTAAAAATTAAACAAAAGACTTTAGGACAGGAAGTGTAAAACATATCAGCTGACATCAAGACACAGTGGACATCTCTTGAAAGTTTCAATAGCAGACAGTACACAAATAGCTACTTGGGACCAGCACTAAACTGAGCAAACAGTTGTTATCCAAGATGATTCTAAAATTTATAGAGTTGATAAGTAGAATCTTTTTCACAAGAAGCACTGAAAGATCAGAATCACACTGTAACATCTTTTGCAGAATTTGCCATGATAAATGTGGCAACACACAGAAGACTCTGAAACAGACAAAGCAGTGGCATCTGATGACTCCAGAAGATTGTTCAAACTAATAAAAGAATATTGCTGAAAATCACTGACTGATCAGAAATGTTGTCTGAACCACTGGGTGGATTATCTTTTTCATCAATTCAGACATAATGCACTCACCATACAAGCCTCTTTGAGAGATCATAGAATAGATTTATGTGTGTCTAATGAACCACTGACAACTAGAGAACTACAGCAGGTCATACACCCTTTGAAAAGAAAGCTGCTGGAGAAGGATTGAAATTAAATCCTCATCTAGCACTTGACCAAACTGATCACTGCTGCTTTGCTTAAAAGACTTTCCTTGAGACTGAACTTTTGTTATTGTGTTGCCTTTCTACAAGAAAGAGAAATGCAGCAGCTGCAACAAACATTTTACTATTGGCCTGATTGACAATATCATGACTGCCATAATCATTAGATGCATTAAAGCAGCATGTGTATAGAAAAAAAAAAAAAAAGAGAACTGTATTTTTCATCAATATTTCCAATATCAAGTATCAAACAAAAGACTGTGGTATCTCTCAACTGTTATTGTTCACAAGGACTCTTATCTCCATGCTACTGTCAGCCCAAGTGCTTTCTGTGTTTTTTTTTTTTCTAATGACAATTGTATTTGGAAATACTGGGTATGTGGAACATTTTTTTTTATTTTGTGGTAATTTTATGATTCATATTGAACAATCTAAATAATAAAATTTTAAACCACCATAGTTGCCACATTATCACTGGAATGATAAAGAAATAATATAAAACAAAGAATACTCACATTCTCATCTGTTATTGTCCACTTTTCATCTATTCTTTTGATCGTTGCATGGTGTTTAGAGATCATTACAGACAACAAACATACTTGCATGTTTCTTCCTCGACCTATATTTATCTGTAGAAGAAAAAAAGATAAACATCAAGATGACTTGAAAACTTGCTACCATACAAATTTTTAACCTTGAATACTTTGTCAGTTCATTTTAATTTAAAAGTATCTGAATGTCTTCAGTTTGTTTTTACTCAACCTTCCTTGTTTAAATTAGATAAACTCATATTCCAAAACATCTGAGGGTCAGAGAGAATCTTGAATTTTCTGTAATGGATATTTGTGCCAGACTGAATATATTCTCACTTGTAATTAATGCCAAGTTCAAATGTTAGTGCTTTTAAGATTAAAAATAATTAGTGTACAGTAAGTTTCTATAGGCTGGACAATTTTATTTGCTCATTTAGCTTTGTAGAAATATCTTGGATTTGAAACATCCAGCTCAGTCTGTGGTGGACTATAAAAATGAAATGAGTTAATAAGGTGGAATTTACCTTTTGCTAGAAGCATGGGTTACTCTTTTCACACAAACCATATTATTTTGAGCAGCATATAACTTTAAAAGTTATATTGAAATTTTGACTTTTTCAGTTTTAAACATTAATTTTGACTGGTTTATTCATTTTTTGTTCCTTTATTGAGTTAAAGATTAGAGCCATGACCAGTTTATTTTTTTTAATTAAAAAAAAAGAAAGAAAAAGTACATATAATAATGAAAATATCTGATACCACTCTTAAAACAAGAATACTTTGACTACTTGTAAGATTTTTGATTTTACTTTATTGGGTTACTTAATGTCAAAGTCAAACCAAGTATCAAGTCTTAGTAGGAAAAAAATCATAATGAATAGTTTTAACATTTGCTTTTCTATATTAATTACCAACAACATTTACAGAAATTTCTTAATGTTTTATGTAATTTTCAACTTTTTTTACAATTTAAAGAGTAAAAAGTAGAATTTAACATCTATAAAACTTAAGAATTAGCTTCAACAGGTGCAAATGGCATCTTTAACAAATTTCTTTGTTAACAAGAAGAAAATAACTCTTGCTATAACCATAATGTCATGGTAAATGTCTCTTTAACAGTATCAGCTGTCAAAGCAAGAGAGAGAAAGTTATATCGTACAGAAGTTTGACCACCAAATAAAGTGATTTAAACACGTGAAGAATGGTTTAAAAGGGAAATTAGTTCTTTTGACAAAAGCTTCTATTGAATGATCTTATGGACCTTAGTATAGCATAGTTTTTTGGGCTGAATTTTTGAAGTAATGAATTGTCTTCTGTTTCCACTTTTTTGTGTATATTGAAATGGTTTGTTTGTATTTTGTCCCCGCCAGAGGATTTTTAGCTTCTTATAATTTTGATTTTCACTTGAGGAGGATCATTGGCATTATTTATTTTGAGGTTTTTGGTTAGGTAGTTCTTACTTCTTTGGAAATCTCCCTTTCGGATTCATTGGCAAGGAAGGTTGCATTGGAAATCTTTGTGATCTCTGTTTGCAGGTTTTTGTAGGTGGTTTTTGGGTGTCTTGTTTGAGAAGGTATTGGCAACATGCTTTATGCATTTTCTTGTTTTTGACTATTTTATTTATTAGAATTGTTTGTGGTTTTAGCTTTTGTAATGGTTTTGGTTTGTGGCGATTAGAAATGGATGTGATTTCAGTTTTTTGTAATGCTTTTTAATATTTTTTATGAATGATGGACAATCAATATCTTAGCTTTAATTTCATATTATGAAATATGGTATTAAATCCCCAAGGGAGACAGACAAAATTTCTTCTATTAGAAATACATAAGATAGGCACTAGTTGAAACTATACAAATTGGTATAAATTATGATTTATGGATATGGAAAAGAAAAGAATTAATTACAGTTAAGTGAACTGGAACCTGGAATTGTATGGATTGAATTAATGACATAACAGAGCTTTAATTAGTAGAATGAAGTAAGACAAAGAGTACTTCCCTCACTAATAGAAAAATGACAGTTGTGATAAACCAGCTGGCCCAGTTAGTAAGAAAATTGTTATTTTTTAATACTACCCCTCAATTCCACATTGATTATATATGTCATTAAAAATTATGCTGGACTTATTGCTAAGTGATTGGAAGATGAATGTTACCAAGCACCTTCCCCTGATCCTGTTACTATGCACATATGCAAATCAATTTGTAACCTGACAACTGAATAAAACATGTTCCCCTTAAATATAGGGTACCATCACAAAATGTGTCCACTGATGTGGTAGAGTCAGAGAGAAAGAAAGAGTTGTTTCAGCTTGAAAAGAACAATTCACATTCAATCATCCAGACCATTTTACTTTATGGTTCTAGGAAGAACTCAGGTGTTCTTTCTAGTCAATTAGTACCAAACAATGATAAGGAGTTCCCTTGTAATTATGTGTGTAGAGAACAAAAGTCTTTAGTCACTGTGGATTGTAAAATGAAATGGGAGAGGAGTTTAACAATAAAGATAGAGTAAGCACATGAGTTTGCATGTCTTGGTTATTCTTTGATAAGCAGACAGCTTGACACCTTGATGGTTTGAATCACTTCAACCAGCCCTGGCAAAGACAAGGAAGAAAAATAAAATATTGGGTATCTCAGTAATGTGATCATCAAGAGAGGTAACAGTTTAACTTGATAGAAGGTCTGATGAATAAACACAAGGTGGCGGAGTATAAGTCTTGTTGAATTCCTCATAACACCTGCCCACCAATTTACATTAGTAGCCCCTCAGCTTTATACTTACCTGGTTAACTTGTGTTGGTTGTAGTTTATGATTTTTGCACAACATTAGAGTATATATTTCTTGTCTGGGTTTTTATTAACTTTCTTTCCTCTGAGAATGGTATATTTTTTCTTCTTCTCACTTCCATAATTTCCTTTTCTTTCGTCCGGATTTTGCATGTACATCAGGTGATATCTATGACAGTGTATTCAATTGCTTCATCACATTCTCCACCAGGGTAGTTGGTTTTTTCTGTCCATGTCTCTTAAACATTGGTCAGTCCATACATTTGGCTATGTAATAGTGTATTTCTGGCACTTATAGCATCTTAAAGGGGAACTCATGTATTGATCTACTTTCTCTCTGGTTTAATCTATTTTAATTTCTTTTAGTATTTCAACTTGTTGAAGGTGAACATGTACCTGTTTGATGGAATTAGCTTCCCTTCATTCTTCTAAAATCTATAACACCTTGATTATTGACTTGATTTCATCTCATCCATTGTACAATTGCATAATTTGTGGTTTCTTCCTCTATGCTTGTCTTTAAATGGGGATATACTTTTATTTTTATGTTGTGGAATGTGTCTATACTCAATAATACATGACCCCCCCCCTCTCTTGACCAGATTATAATACATGTTGACAGTCTTCACAGTAGAATGTCCCTCATCGATTCATTCTCCAGAAATATTGGGAATCCAGGCATACGTTTTTCATTTTCATCATCTGAATCAGTGTCAACATGTTGTCACTTGAGTAGCTTATTATATACCATATTTTTTCTCCAATCACTTTCAATGTCCATGCTCCTCACCTGCCTTAGAATGTAATATTGGGAAATGTCAAGGAGACCCATTCTCCTTGATATGACAGGGATATACAGACAATATACTCATAGATAAAAAAATAAATAGATCACCTTTTAGATCTATCCAATTACTTCAAAATGGTATATAATTTAGCTTTGTAGGTGGAAAAACCGAGATATTGATATTTAAACTTTGACTATTTTCCAAAATTCACCTTTTTGGAAAAGGTCGAAGGATCAGACCTCAGGAACCCTTTGACTTAGAGATGTAAAATAGGTACCATTTAATTTGTACCCTGAAGCTTTATAAGTATATCAAATTTGAAAAAAAATCTGTGTCAGTGATGGTCAGACCCTTGTTGATTTGAATTCAATGGAGACTTCAAACACATGTAAACTGTCAGCTATCCTATTCAAGTTTCAATATGCCCCACACCCTATAAACTAAGATATTGTTAGGTAACTGTGCCGTGTATCTCCCTATTCACCTTCATCACTCTCATGAAATGAGCACCCACCAGTTTTACTCAGACCTCTTTGCCAATTGGAAAGGTCACAAGCATCTCCTCTCTTCCTGCTTTATGATGTCATTCCATATCATTTCTACCTGGCCTGTAAGCTCTAAAGTACCACCTTACATTCCACCAGTTGAGTATCTTTCTTATATATTCTGATCAGAATGCCATGCTGTTGTCTATAAACATCTCTTCTCCAAGTAAATCTTATTGAACTCATCAGCAGTCACCTAAACCCACAGTCAATCATTGCTAAATATACACTGCCTCAATGATCAGTCATATCCACAGTACACCTTACCTAGTTGTTTATCACCTTAATCTCTCCCACCTTATGTACTAGGGTTAGTGGATTGTCACATTTTGCAGCTCCTGAATGTTCTCTGCACTAGTGATACTTTCATCCACATTTTAGATAAGATACAGACTTCAATCTACACCTAGATAATGTAAACATTCCAGCTCTGCATCTTCTAGACACCACACCACTCCATTCTCTCTCTATTCACTTCCTCCTTACTTTTGTTTTAACTCATCAGCTTTGTTTTTCTCCACTGATACAAAAACAGACTGCAAATCCAGTTTAAATTTTTTAGTATCCTTAAGCATCAATTCTGCACTATCCTTTATTCAAACTCTCTTTGAGTTTACTGTAACTGAATCTGTTTTAATACTTATTTTTTATACTCCATTGTTTTGCCAAATTTACACTCTTCTACTGCATTAACATGGTTGCAGTCTCTTTTCTTTCTTAACCAGGCTGCATCTTCTGCCACAATACCATTCCCCTCTAGATATAGCGCCCCCCCCTACTAATTCCACCACACATACCACACCGCTCTCTGACTTTGGTATATGCCACTTCCCATGAACTAGTCCTTTTTTGTTTATTTCTTCCAGTATGTGATCTATATATAATCTTGTGGTTTCCTGGATTCCATCATCTTTTCCCAATACATTTTTGAACAATGCCATGATTTTGGTGCAGAATAAAAACCAAACTTGAGCCAAGTAAGACAATGCCTTCCCCTTATAATCCACTAATTGGTACATTCAGAATATTTTTTACAATCCATATCTGCAGATATGTCACATTTAGGTTCATGATCATAAGAAGCCCCAGTCATTTGTTACCAACTCTTCATTGTTTTATTGCACATGTCAGTGATGTCATTACCTGTATAACACACCACATACTTTTTTAATACTTTAAAATCTACCACCAGTTTTGATTTTTTCCTTTTGTCAGGTGTACTACTGCCATAAGTGGCAACACTCCGGTCTTCACTTTTTACCTTCAAAATACAAGAATTATCTCTTTTATCCACATCTTTACCCACCTTTCAAATTCAATTCTATCCATTCCCTTTACAGAGCTTTCATAGCAACTCACCTTGTTTAACCCTTCCTTCAATAACTCTCCATCATTCAATTTTTACCATTAAAGTCTGCAGTCTTTTATTCTCAAATTTTACACTTTGTGACCCCATATTCATGGCAAAGGCAAATTTTCCAAACTTCATCCCCTGTTCCTTGATAGTAGCCACCCACAAGATGACGGATCACATTCATACCCATTATGATATCTATGCCATTAATGACACTGTCAGTTATTACTACCTTTACATTTGTGCTTCCCATATTATCTCTCTCCCATCAACTGACTTCATACTACTACCACCAATGTAATTGTTCTTTAACTTTCAGGTCACTAATGTTATTGTACACCCAGTGTCGACAAGAACGTGTATTTTTAATTTATTACTAAAAACACATACATATCCACTTCAACTCAGTAACTATTTCCTTTTTCTTCTCTCCAAATTCTCATATAGTACAGTGTAACCCGGATATAAGAGAGTTGTCGGGACCGGAGAAGAAGTCTCTTATATCCGGGTTTGGTCTATTTTATATACATTAACACAGGCTCTAATTTGGGACCAGATAAAATCTCTCTTATATCCGGGTTTCTCTTATATCCGGGTTACACTGTAATACTAATAAGAAATAATGGGAAAGTAAAATAGCCATTGTTTAAATTATTGTTTACATTTCAGTTAAAAAAAAAAAAATTTGCTGATATAGACACAGAAAAGTTGTATCGAGGTGTACATTTTTTTTTAAAATGGGTAATCAAATATTGCTTTAAGGACATCCATGACCAAATGGTAGACACCTGCCAAAAATTGGTTTCTGATGTAGATTTGATCTTTTGAGTCCAGTAAATGTTAAATTCACTTTTTTTTTTTTTTTTTAAAAAGGATGTCAACTCACACTAGTGTACCCACTAAAATAATGTTTATATATGATGGACTGAGGGTCCAAAATCTCAGTTCTTAGAACTGAAGAGCCAGACTACTCACACATTAGTGGTGAAAGCATGTACAGAACCAACCACACTTTTCAGAACTGCTGCACATAGGCCTCCAAACGACCCTCATCGGGTTTTGAATTCAGAATTGTCCTTCTCCTAGCCAATCAAAGCTAAAGAGTCCAGTATACTCTACTATTTAACCTATAGCTAGGGCGAAGGATGTTTGCAAACGAGTGAACGTAATGAAGTCAACTCTCTCATTTCACGTTCTGAGGCGTAATTTATTATACAACACACACACCAGTGAACTATATAAAAATGAAATACATACTTAATGTGGAAATAATTTACAACCAATAGTAAATATGGCTATTTACAAGTCAAAGTGTAAGGGGGGTAAAAACAATCGCTTCTTTACTTCCAACTGTCAAATAAATTTCATTTTCTTTCTTTTGGAAAGTATTATTTTTTTTTTACTTTATCAGATTTTTAATTTTCGGTTTACTTTTTAGAAGTCTGTCTGAAATTGAAATATTTAATTTTTCATAAATAAACTTGACTAGTTCATTTCATTAAAAAACGCATCTAGATATTCCAATGAATTTATCGAAAACCAAGTTTAATCTTAAAAAAGAAGATATTATTTATAAATATGATATTAAAACGCATCCAGATATATTAACGAATTTATCGGAAATCAAAGCTAAACTTAAAAAAAAAACCCAAAAAACATTTAAATTTAAAATTATTAATGATATATTCGGTCCTAATGATTTTTTAACGCATTTTGTTTGATTTTTATTTGCTACCGGCCTAGCGAAATATTTCGTTAATCAGTTTTAATAGAAGTAGATCTATGTCATTCTTAATTTTAGCTATTTTTAAAAGTTTGCAAATTTCAAAAACTTGATAAAATTTTTACAACACCAAACAAAAGTGAACTCGACGAACTATTTTTTTCACAATTAAAAACGAAATTTCTCAATGTTTTCAAATAAAGCATGTCCTGTAAAATAACACTAAAGTAAATAAAAACATGGCATTTTAAATATAATTTTACATAACATAATTATGTCAAAAAATAACTTTAGTAAAGTGGTGTTCATTTTAATTTCAAAAGACCGCTGAAATAGTGATGATGAAACAAACATTAAAATTATTTATTAACTCAGTGGTTCGATGCTAAAGATTCTTGTGAGATTAAAAGATGGTTTCGAAAATGTTGAAATTACCTGATCCTTGTTGAGCAGGATGCTTTTTTGGGGATCATTTATATTCTTAAGAAAACATTGTTTCTGTTGAACCGCCATGATACTGAACGGTTAAGGTAAACTATAACAACAACACAAACCGATGACGTCACATGTTTTGCGAACTTGGCAAATCAAAAGCTATAACATACTGTTCGTTTAAAACGGAAGTTGCTTCTGCGCATTCGCAGTAAAGATAATCCTTTCAGTGGCGGCCATTTGTATAGATTGCCGATATGTGAGTATGCTCTAATTTATATTTTTTATAATATTATAAACTATGGTTTTTATACTTACGTTGATCTTATATTTATATTCTTCAAGTTTTATATGACTAGTCTGTAAAGTTTTTAGCTTGTGTTAGCCAGCTTAGTACGTTATTTCCGTCATTTACTCGGGCAACGTGGTGTTCAATCAGCGTTTAATTTTAAAAAGTAAAAAGAATGTTTTCTTTTCGCTTAGATTTTTCTTATTGGTAACATTTTTAAGAGTTTTGTAGGCCCGGTATTCGTTTTTATTAGTCATTTTCAAGGAAAATTGTAAGTAAATATATATATATATATATTTCTACTTTTATCTGTTCGCTTTCTTTTGAACATTTCTGTAATATTCTCCTTTTTTTTTTTCTAAGTATGAATAAATGTTCTTTTGATCCATATGAAACTTTTTACTTTTTTTCTCTTAAAATATTTATAAAAGTCTTTTGCTCATCTTCACTCAATGTAGCAAGGTCCGGACTACCCACGTGCTTCAAAAATACTTGACCCTGTAAACGTACAGAACTCTGATTTAAAAAAAAACAAACTAGTTTCTTTTTAACGTTAAAAAAATTAAACTGTTCTATCGAGTGTCATTCTTCATTAAGTGAATAGTACATTGTATAATATTTAGAGAAATGTATTGTAATACAAGAGAATTTGACTCACTTTTATCAACGTTCTCTGTTAAAGTTCTAGCTTCCTGTCAGTGTTGAACTTTTCCCCACATAAGAGCTTAAATGGGTACCAAGTTAGAAAAAAAATTCTCCAATCGAAACGTCATTCATGTAATTATTAATTACATCACCAATAATTACGCTTTTATTACAAGCGAAGTTATTTTCTTTAGGTCCTAAACTTTAGGACTTTATCACTCCTTCCAAAAGTCAATCGAATTTCTGAGTAATAGAAAGCCACGATCGCCTACGTCCTGAAGGAACATGGCATTAAAAAAATTTTCGTTTGTGCGTCGTTAAGGCAGAAATGTAATCAATCATTTGCGAATTGTATTTTGATTAAGAGGGTGTTGCTAAAGCCTGTTCAATACCTTGAAGGATACTACAAACTAAAATTCAAGCATATTGTAAATATTTTATTTCTGTATTCTCGGAATTTCTACGTACATTAGATGAAAGGGCTATTTGTCCCGTTTGTTTGCATAATTTTGATCAAGATGGCCAACACGCCCCCCCCCCCCAAGTTGATTTTGCACTTTAGCTAAAAACCCGGGTTAAGAATGTTTCTGCATTGGGATTGAAAAGTTGATCAAAGTGAAATCTGCATTAAACTGCAGTGTTATGAATGCGATAAAGTACACTGGGCACATGGTCCTGGAGGAAGGTGACAGCTAATTAATCTCACCTACTAGATTTGCATTCCGTAAGCAATTATATTTATAATCAACCTATTTACAATTAACGATAAAGTATCATGTACCTCTAAAAATTCGTACATGATAATAAAAGCACAAACAATTTTATCGTCAAAATCTTTAAGGGAGATTAAAGTGTTTCTATGTAGATTTTTTTTTACCCATTTTAGAACCTTGCAAAATTAAAGTCTTTTTCTTGTAATGATTCTGAAATCCTTGCAAAAAGTAATACTTAAAAATGAACAATCTTTCTTGGAGCTCTTATTTTTAGTTTTAATTCCAAGAGATTAAAAATTTAATATTCCCAATATATAAAATACGATGCTGTATTTTAAAATCGAATTTAAATTGATTGGAATAATTTTTTTGATATTTTTTATTAACGATAAAAAATTTGTCATTGACAAATCTATGAAAAAAAAAATACTTTCAAATATACTTTTCTGAAACTGGGTAAGATTAGCTGATTTAAACATTAATCTGAATCAAAACATTACTTTTAGTTCAAAATACTGTAGAAAAGGAAACAGGTGTTTTTATGCGGTGTCACAGATTTATCGGTAGCTTAATGTTTGTCATTTTTAAGTAGAGCACATAACTCAAAATTACTTGAATAGAATGTGAACTCTTTAAGTCCATGTTTATTGCTGAAACTCATTTGTAGAATATTAGCTGTTTTAAATTATAATTTATCTGATTTGAAACATATTTACTTAAGTTTAAAATATTGCAGAAATGCATTTTCTTAACCCAGCATAAGGTGTTGACATGATGTCAGGTCTAATGTTGTTCTATGGGGACTTTATCTGTGAAACATAATTGAAGGAAATGTCATTTTTAAGTTCTCAGTAAACTTAAATTTAGAGAAATGTTTTTTATTGAACTTTAAATAGTATGGCTTTAAATTTATTATAGTTATCACTTATTTCCTGATAATGGCATGTTTACGCATATGCAAAAAAAAAATTCTTTTCATGAATATTGGTGTTTGACTGTGCTAAGCATGTTCCATCTATGATTAGTAAATATAGATTTTAATATCTAAATGGGTGAAATTAATACAGAACTTTAACTTTTTTTTTTTTTTTTTTTTTTTTTTTTTTTAATTAGAAAATAAGCTTTCATGTGAAAATTCATTATTCTTGCAGTAATATTGTCCTTAATAAATAATTTTTTTCTAATTGTCTTAGTTTTATTGCATTTTTAATTTAGGGTGCAGAGCAGTTTTTTTTTTTTTTTTTTTTTTTTTTACCCACAATAGACATTAAAATTTTTTTAGACTAATTTGTTCCATTGCCCTACCTCACACTGACAGAAAGAATACACTATTTCTAACCAAAATTCCAAACATACTAGGAAAAAAAAAATTAAATTCTTTGGGCTTTCCTGTTAATTTTCCACAATGGAACTTATCAAGTTTGGGGCTCTTTTTGTTTTTTCTAACAGTGAATTAGTGGATGTACCTACCATCATTGATGTTATGGATTAACTAATGTTTATTAGGTACACTGTCCTGAGGGTAGGCAATGGCTTAAAACAGTTGACTGAATGTGCCTTATTGATTAAAATAGTGATGCAATCTCATAAATATTTTGATAGTAACACTTCAGGCCTCATTGAACAAGTGGATCACCATAACTTAAGTATTGCTACTACTTTATTGCTCATTGGGTTGAATTTAATTGTTTATTGGATGGGAATCTATCATTATAGGCACAATAATCTTAAATTATTAACTGTTCGTTGAATTTATTCTTGGTCATTGTTATCAACACTGTACACAGTATTTACATTAGTTGGACTATTGTCCTCATCTTTGTCGCCATATTTGTCACAACGTTTCGGCCGTTGTACGCTCCGGCCTTCTTCAGGTGGTTGGAATTTCGAACTGAACCCTTTATTTCGATCGCTGGGGTAGACTGTTCTAATTCCACGTGCCATGTTTGATGGAAAGAAAGGGATCGTCCGATGCTTACAACATCGAGCAAAAGTCATAAGTGGCGATCCAGAGACGTTAGATAAGGAATTGGTCAGTATAAGTAGTACCTACAACGCAACAACTACCCTGGGTACATGGCAGCAGCCCCAAAAAACTGGGATAGGCGGGTACAAGAGGAGGAGGAGGAGGACAACAACACTCAGAAAACAGTCTGCCTGCCTTATGTGAAGGGGTTATCAGAGAAAATACAAAAAGATCTGCGGTCCATATAACATCAGGACAACCTTCAAAAGCGTGACAACTCTTCGCAGGTATCTCTCACAGTGAGACCCCCCATAGAGAGGAAACATGACTAAAGACTGTGTATACGCTATCCCATGCAGCTGCGGAAAGGAATATAAAGGAGAGACAGGCCGCCCCCTCAAGGTAAGGCTTCAAGAACACCAGAAAGCTGTAAGGGGAAGTAGGGAAAATAGAAAAATGACCACATATGGAGAGAGAAGGAGATCACCGCCCCTGTGGGATCATGTTGAGATCATAGACAGGGAACACCATTGGAAAATTAAGTAAACTTAAGGAATCAGCACATATGCTAGGCCACAAAAAATCTCCTGAGCCGACCAAGCATAGAAATAAATACAATATGGGAACCAGTAATAAGGAGTGCCAGAGAAAAGCAATGATAACAAAGTTGCAATATGAACTCTGGTAAAGACATGCAATGATAACAGCAAAAAATTGCAATATGAGCACTGGTAAAATGATGCTGAAAACATTAGGTTTATAATACTCAGAAGTTCATACCCAGATGTCCTCAAGGACACATGGCACAGTGGATAAAGGCGTTGGTTAGATCAGTGACAGACCCACAGAAGGTGAGTTCAATTCCTGGTTAAGGCAGTGGAGAACTTTCAGAGGGAAAATTAGCAGGAGATAACTGATAACTGACATCCATCAAACATGGCACGTGGAATTAGAACAGTCTACCCCAGCGATCGAAATAAAGGGTTCAGTTCGAAATTCCAACCACCTGAAGAAGGCCGGAGCGTACAACGGCCGAAACGTTGTGACAAATATGGCGACAAAGATGAGGACAATAGTCCGACTAATGTAAATACTGTACATAATACCTCATCTCAGAAATATAGACAAACTCTGAACACTGTACACGTTTATTAATTCTGTTTAGTTGTCCCAAATTGTGAACCTGGTAACAGCAGTCAAGCCCATGTTGCATTGCAAGTTTAAAAATAATTTTGTAAGCATGGAAATCATGACTTAAATTATTTTTATTGATTGTTTATCTTATTTTTGAAAGATTTTATAATTGACATTTCAGAAATCCAAAATGCAGTTGTTTGTTAAAGGAAACGAGACTCTTACATTCACCCTTTCGGGTAATGAAACCATCCAAGATATCAAGGTTTGTATCTATTTTCTCTTCTCAATAAAATAAAGAAACACCAGATCCTTTAAAACAAGTTGTAAAGGAAAACATTCATTGGAGAGTGTGGGGCGGGGGGTCAAAGAATTTACATGTGTGCACACTTAAATTAATGATTATACCCAGATCAGATGATTCTTATTCAGTGCTGGTTTCTCGCATACATACATACATACATTTATTTACTTATTTGGCCAATCTTTGGTTATATAGAGAGTAGCAGTGTTATTGGAACATGCATTACCACTGTCTCAATCCCAGGTTTGGCCATGTCCAGCACCTTGGTCTAGGTGGTGTCATAGATTTTGGAATCCTATAGTAAAATGGGACCTGACTTTCATTGCTCATGAACTCCCCGAACTGTCACAGTGATCATTAACTTGGTGTACATCATCATGAGCACCTAGGTGATCAACTCTGAGCCTGTTTTCCCTCTGTTCCATGCTGTAGTTCTTGTCGTAAGTATGTGCTTTGAGCTTGTTCTGAAGATGCTTTCATCACATCACATGCCTTGTTAGATATTAACTCTTCATAGGAGTTAATGTGAAGGTGGGCTCTGCCACATTGAACTTTAGTGGCTAGGTTCATAATTGCCGATACTGTAGACCTGTTGAATAAATGGATATCTTTATATGGCATCTGACGGCTCAGAATATTTTCCTCTTTGCCATAGTCAAGGTGTCCAACTCACTTTTGACTTTGAATGCAAAAGGAAATATTTTAGTCATTGCTTTTCAGCTAGTATCACAAGCATGGCATAGCTATTCATTGTGTTAATGCTCTTGATATCTTAAACATTTACTCTAAAATTTGGTGTGTGCCATCTAATTTTACTAGCTCATGTTGCATTTATCTTCCATATTTTTATTTTTTTTTTTTTAACAATCTCTTTCTCTTTGTAGAGCTTGTTGCAAGCTCGTGGAGGTTTTGACGTTGCCCAGCAAATACTGACATTCAATGGCTCTCCTCTTGCTGATGACTTTTGCGTTAGCCAGTTGGAAGATCAAAACACACTTAACATGGAAATCCGTATGCTTGGAGGTGAGTTTCATTGTCTGGAATTTTACATTGTGGTAATTTACTTTTGCACTTTTAATTAGCTTTTTACCATTTTAATAAAAATTCACTTTTTTCTGTTCTTGCCATTAAAACTCCGATCACCAAAATCTGTGGATACTCATTTTATTATGGGTCTTAGCTAAAATATACACATGTAGTGAACAGCTTAGAATCAAATATTTCTATCAGTTAAGTCACTAAACTTTAAAATACTGCCAGTATATTTTCAGTTTTCTACATGTTTAATGGCAGTTAAATATCAATATTAGCAAGCAACCAAAATAAATTGCAGCAGTTGGCTTTGTGGCGTGCTTTCTTTTATTTCTAGCAAAATTCCCTAAACTGCATTTCTTTTTGCTCATCAACAGGTAAAGTCCATGGTTCTTTGGCTCGTGCTGGTAAAGTGAAAGGACAAACTCCTAAGGTGATAAAATTTTCCTCATTTAGTGTTATTTAAAAATATATTGACTACGTTTCCATACAGAAAAGTTTCTAAAGTAAAAATTTAACTAATTTCAGGTTGAGAAGCAAGAGAAGAAAAAACAGAAAACTGGCCGTGCTAAAAGACGCATGCAATACAACAGAAGATTTGTCAATGTTGTGGCTGGTTTTGGCCGAAGGAGAGGACCTAATGCCAATTCATAAGCTGTTTGTGATACTGGGTTTCTGAATAAAGTAACATTGTGAACCTTTTCTAGTTGTTGTTTGTTTTTTTTTGTTTTTTTTTGTACTAATCACTTCAAATGCAGTTGGATAAGGTCTATACAGAAATGTTTCAGGACCCAAACAAAAAATTCACATTTTAAAAAAATTAAAATACAGATATTAAAGAAAGACAATTTAGTAAAGTGTATAATTGGATTGGATGTATTAGTTTGATTTCATGGTAAGCAATATTTAAGGTTTTCCTTTTCAACTGAAGAATAAATTAGAATTTACTCTTGATCATACAATTGGCCATGTGTACATATTTATTTCTTGGGCTAAATTTCTACTTTTTGAAGTGTCTGGCCTTCTAATTTGTTTTGAGATCTTGTAAACATGGGTGCAGCTAGATTCTTGTATATAAAAAAATTATATATGCAAAAAAAAAAAAAAACTATTTTCATTTCAAACCTATAAATTCTTTTGTGACACCTCCTATTAGTCCTAACACTCTTCCCTCTGCAGATTTCCTACATTCAAGCATCAAATTAGTAGCACCCTTTGGTTTCACTATCATTGTGGGTGGGGTTTTAAACATGTCCACAAACAAAAGGACAAGGTTGGTGATAAATACATCTTTAGTATTATAAAAGGAAAATTTTTTTTTTTTTTTTTGGTTCTAAGCTTAGGTTTCTACCTTATAATCCATTAATGCCTACTACCCTATTTTTGAAACTTATGTTGGATTGTATCATAGATAAAATAATTTTAAAGAGCCCCTGGTAGCTTATAGCTCATTTTAAATGCCAAACATCTACATAACATTTCCTATAGCAACAATCCATTACCAAGCTGCAAGACATTGTATTAAAAATTAAATTTCTAAAACTAATGCTTATTTGGCCCATTCCAAAGCTGGAAGTAATTTTTAAACTTATTGAATTCAAAATGGTTGTGTTTGAAATTATGAAAGTTAAACTTTCCAAGGCAGCTTCTAGTAAAGAGCCAATTGAAAGGACATGCAAAAAAAACCTTTCCTGTTAATGTCTGGTCTTGAACTCTTTGCAGCCTTCAGGCTCTCCAGTCCTGTTACATGTATGACAAGATTAACACTATTTGGTTCTGTCTCGTGCTCAAACTTCACTTTTCAAATTATGGTTTTCTAATTTTCTTCTATAATCATAATGTATATAAGATGTTATCTACATTAGAAATGTAGATTTTTTTTTTTTTTTTTTTTTTTTTATTAAAATGTGAAATATGAATATAGAGACTTGCAATTTAATCTCCTTAGAAAGCTAAAACTTATCAGTTCAAACAATCATGACATGTTAAAAAAAAAAAATGTCTGGTCAGATTTTCAGAAGCTCTTTGCTTAACCAAGACAATATACAAGTTGATATTTCACACTAATGTTCACCATCCCATTGGATCTGAAAGAGTAGAATAATGAAAGAAAAAAAAAACTCTTCAAAGATTCACATGAGAAAAACAAGGACACAAAATATGCTGTCATTTTGAATGGAATAAAAATAAAACATTTTTATTGAAAAATGTTGATAGGCACAAGAAAATGCAATATATACAAAGAAAAATTGGATGATCAATGTGAATCATTAAAAAAAAAAAAAAATTATATACCCTGGGAATTTTTTGTAACTACAGAAGAGTGGTTATTTTATTTATTTTAAATTCAAGCAAGCCTCTCTAAAATCTGAGAGGATATTTCAAATTTAAAACTACTTTCTTGTCAATGACAAATTTCTAGAGCATTAATTCAGTATGTTGAAATATCTAAGAGAAAAACTGATCAAAACAATTTGTGTAAATATTTTGAAAGGCAATTCAATATTTTTACCCTGGGTAGCTTTTTTTACAAGTTGGGTGGGGGCTTGAGAAGATGCTTTTTGCCCTAATTTAAAATGAAAAATTTCTTTTAAAGAGGTTTTAGTAAATAATTTGAATGAAGCCTGGCCTGTTTTGTTTTTATATAGCTGCCTTTATTAATATTTTCACTATTGGAATTGAGTCTTCCATTAGTAATGTCCATTTCAGAAAAAATAAACTTTGGTTAATTTTATATTTCCCGGCTTTGCTTTTTATGCACACATATGTATTGTTAATGATCAATATTTTATCCACAACATATAGATTTCTCTTAAACACATTAAATTATAATTTACTTCATGGGTTATAGAACCAGAATTTACTTAATGATCCTTACTATTAACAGTTATGGCTACCTGCAATCTTGTTAAAATATTAATGATGTGTAATGCTAATAAACTCTTTGAATAATAATGAAATTATTGTTAAGATGTTAACTCATATTCTATAAAGTATTATTTTCTACTCCCTCCCATTCAAATGAATATTTTTTTTCTTTTAGAAATCCTAGAATTCTCTCCATATATAGAAGGAACTCCAATAAAAAAAAAAAAAATTTTGGATGGATTTTGAATTGAACTTTAAAGTAATGTCCTTTGCGTGATGACTTCATACTAGAGCCAGTATCTCCTGAAATCTTTCTGGATTGTCATATGTGTCAATGTTCCAAAGTGACCTAAAAAAAAATAAAAAATAATTTTTTTTTCCATAATCAAACTGTCAAGCAAAAAAAAAAAATATCTTTTAGTCCTGATAATAAAATAAATATATCTATTAGATATCTAAGCTCATGTTTTTAGCTAACAAAATTAGTGGACAAAGAACAAGTCATAACTAAGCTACCTTAAAAAACCAAACAAAATGTGTATATACACACACACATACATACCACACACAAATTATAAAAATTCTCTTTTGGAATTTTTTTTATTTATCTAACTACTAAAATTATACCAAGTGATATATGGTATGATTTTTAAAAGAAAGGTGTGTATAAAACTAATTGTTTCAAGAAAACTTTATAAATTTTTGCTTAAATGGGACTGCTAAATCAAATTTCTGATCTATGCTGCTTTTAACAGTACCAATGTAAAACAACCTGAGTGTTGCAAAAAAAGAAAGATAAACTATACAAAATTAATAAAATTGTTAACGTTTTTAATGTACTTAAATATTATAGGCGTTTTAAGCTTAACAAAGCAGAACAGATATCAAATGATTAGATCAGCCATATTATGAGAAAAAGGCACTTTGTCAGGTTTTGGATCAGCATATTTCAAATGATTTCTTTCTGTACAATTACAACTTCAAATCAGTTATGCTTCTCTATTCCATTTAAATTTTAGGATAAATTTCTCTTTGAATTAGGTTATGGAATCAACAATGGTCTATAGCTATTCAAATGAGGATTATTTTTGTCATACTGTTGACATGGAAACTTACTGATACTAAGCTGTAGAACAACAAAATTTCTAAGTTAAATAATAAAAAATAATTTACTGTGTAGATGTAAAAAAAAAAAATGTGCAAACAAATTTATTAAAATAACTTTAGCAATAAACTATAATACTGCAGGAGAAAACATTTACCTCATGGCAAGCAAACGCTGAGCACAATTCTCCATCTCTTTGGCCTTTTTAACTCCACAACGGATAATCTGAAATAAATAAGAGAATTGTTGAGAGGGAATGCATATTCCATCTTTGGTTCCTTTTTCAAGATAAGAAATTATATTTTAATGTAATTTCTAAAAAGTTAATGGATTTATTTTTAATCCAATATTTTATCACTTCAATCATTTTTTAGAATATACCTGATTAAAAATAGATGCCCCACTTATTATTTCAAACAGAGTACATTACATCTATCAGTCTGTGTACTTGAGAAAAGGTGCTCTCCAGCAGGATTCAAATATGTGTCACTTTTTGTAGGAGAGTGCCCTTTCAGTGTGCTTTAAGACCACTCTGCCAGAGTGTCTCCACCTAGCAAGGTTAAAAAGGAAAATAGAACCAGGTTCTCAGTGACCAAGAAGTCTAAAAGATGGTGGTTTCTCTTACTAAGCAGGTTCAAACCCTGCAGAAGAGGGGTTTTGTTTAGTGTACAGGCTAATAGTTGTAGTATATACTATTTAAAATCAAAAATGAGGTATCTATTTGAAACACGGATATCTACTAAAAATTACATCTGATGTAATATTTTAATGTATAATTTTGTTTCTTCATATGGAAGACAAATAATGGCTATTTAACAGAAACATAAGGATCATAGAATATCTCAATAAATGCTGATTAATTTTTTTTAATTTCTTATTTGAAGAAAAGTCAAGTTGCTTTGCTAAAACAGACCCCTCCTCCAAGTGATTAAACAATTTAGTCAAGCATATTACCCAATTCCTACCCTCTATGCTTGCCCACCTACATCAACAAGAAGAACAAGCATGTCTTGATAATGCAACATCCATTTTGACTTCTGAGATATAGCCATTGATTGAACATTTATATGGTGGTCAGGAGTTTAATTCCTTGATTAGGTAGAAATCTATATTCTCTGGTTCAGCAGAAGAAACAAAGATCAATAACAGAATTAATTAATTCAAGATATCCCCTAAGTATAGACAGCAGAATAAAAACAGTATACCCACATAGATTCAGAGAATGCTACTGAAAATGGCAAACATCTGAAGAAAGGCAAGAGTCTAAACATTATTATTATAACCAGGATGAAGACAACAGTTCAGATAAATGTGTAATTCCAAATCATAGAAATTATCCATTTTAGCATGAACAATTCTGTCTATAATAATATGAATTAAAGTAACACAAGACCATATAACTTTATAACTGGGCTGCAGTGCTTATTAGCCAGTTAGAAATGTCACAGGGAAAGGGTGAAAAAAAAAAAAGGCTAAGTCACTCACCTCATCAGGAATATTGGCCAAACGAGCAGCATTAAACCCATAACTTTTGGGACATGCTCCTTTCACAAATTTGTACAGGAATGTTATGGTCTCTTGAGTTGGATCTTCATTTTCATTCTCTACCATACAAGACTAAAATGAAGAGGAGGATTCAGTGAATATTTGAACTTTTACATAATGCCATCTAGGTTTTTGT